ACGAATGAAACAATCAGAAATTGTATTTTGTATTTTATATAAAGCGTGGAGGAAGAGAAGAAATTGCGTTGCGAAAAGGATTAACTTTGCAAGAAGAACAAAATGCAATATTGAATTTGAAATTCCCCTCCCCCCCCCAGAATTGTTACCAGAGGTGTTTCAATATTGGGAGAGGGGGAGGGAATAAAAGTAGGACAAAAAAAAAGAATAAAATATTTAAAATTGATGGCCTGAATGCAATAGTTAGGAACAGCAGTTGAATTTTCCACGCCACGGGAATTCCGGTTTCCTCTGTTCAAACAAGTAATCCTTTGCATTTCGGGTGTATATATATATATATATATGTACGTATGTTTTTGCACGTCCCCCTTTCTAATCTTGCTCGGCCTGAAATTTATTTTCGAAGGATTTATCTGTCTTCGACTAAGTAAACCCATTTGCATTTCAAATATCACCCTTGATTTGCTCCCTGTGGTTCCGCGTCTCTTCCCTTTTTTTGCTCCAAATTTATTTCAGCAAAAGTCCACGTACGTTGTTTCACTTAACTCTAGTTTTCATCGTTTTCATTCATTTGATGAAAGAAGAGCATTCTCAATTTCAATTAAAATTATTTTTAAATCGCAATCTTCTTGATCATGAATCGTGATGATCTGACGTACTTCATCAATCGCATATAACTGATTCTGTGATTATATCTATTATGCACAAGTAGCTATGCTTATGTTAATACAGCACTCGTAACATTTCCTGTCACGTGTATCTATTTAAATTTCCCGCCATATGTATAAAATAAAATATATTTCTATTGTAATTGTCACGCTTGTCAGATTACTAATTATTCAAGAATTCAAATGTATAACGCTCGTATATAAAGAGTTGTACGATCTTATTCGTTCAATACCTCAAAAATATGACAATTTTCTTATAATGTAAGAAAGCAACATGTTAAACCGTCGACAATCTCATCGAAAATTGTACGAAATATTTAATGCTCGAAAGAGTTTACGATCCGGTCATCTTCATCCAGTACTGAAAAAAAAAAAAAAGAAAAGAAAAGAAAAGAAGAGTGTTCTGCTCTGCTCTGACATGAACAATTACGAACATTGTCTCTCGTACAGAAACGAAAACGGATGCGCGGGCGTAAGAGGAATCGGCACGGTTGCAAACGAGCACGAGCACACATCCTACCTTTACACGGAGAATAGTGGCGTTCTCTAGCTTTTGGCTTTCCAACGTTGTCACAGTCATAAAACAATGCCGAGATAATAGCGGGTTTACCCGTGTGCCTTCGAGCGTCTTGAAGCTAACAACCTCGCGGCCATTTTTGAATCCAAGTTGATCTCATTTCTTCTTTTTTTTCTCCCTCTCTCCCCTTACTTCTCTTTTTTGCCTCTCTCTCTCTCTCTTCACAACCAACTTTGCTGCACATCATCTCGAAAGGGTTATCTGGAAAGGGTGGAAGGAGTATATAGGTCATTCCAGGTGAAACGAGCGAACTCATCGAACTCATTGGCGCACTGAAGAAACCGATCATTGAAACTGATATTCGAACGCTACTATTTCTAGAGCTGTTTTCTTTTTTTTTTTTTTTTTTCCTTTCTTTCTTTCTTTGTGGAACGAGATACGTAATATGAAGAGCGAGGTTTATTTGCAAGCTGATTGAAGAGTGTGATCGATATTTCGTGGCTAATTTTGTTGGATGGTTTATCGAAAAATGATTTAAACGGTTAGACGTTCGACATTGTTCAATTGAAGGTGGACTGGTTTCGTTCGGATAGATTTTACTGAAAATAACCGATACGAAAAGGATTTTGAAACGAAAGTTTTGCTGGAAATGAAAGATATTAAATTTGGGGTGAAACTTTAGAAAATCTATCTTGAGTTCGATGCGTCACTTGTCGATTCGAAGTGTTATTGTATTCCAAAAATTCCAATTGGATTAAATATTAGAGATTATTTATATATGCAGTACAATAATAATTCTTCGTAAGCTATATAAATTATGTAGCATAAAATAATCTTTCCATAGAAATTTAAATTGCTTCCTCATTCATCGCGACTGATATAATAGCGACGGAAATACCAATATAGGATACAAGATGAACAATGTTAGAATAACTGAAGCACCTTTTCAATCACAAAAGACCTTATTATCAACGTTTCAATATCTGCCAATCATATATAAGAGCTTCTTTCTATGCAATACGATACTTCAAAAAGGCCCTCCATAATTTTCAAACAGAATCGCAACTCTCACAAGAAAACTAAGAAGATAGTTACAAAATTTAAATTTATCTTCTCATCGAGATTTTATTACCAACATCTCAATATCTCTCGTCAATCAAAAATAAAATCACGTGTAAACTTTCGTTCTATTATCCAATTCTCAACGATTCCAAAGTTATAATTAACGACGAAACATCTTGTTAACCGATACATTTCACAATCAAAAATACCTATATACGATCCTAAATCGATCTTCAAATCTTCACATGCAACCCCCTACATGCGACAACGGGACATTATCAACCGTGAACCCAATCGATCAATCGAAACCATTGCTCCGTGTATCGTAAACGAACCACCCTAACAGAGGAGCCCAATTCTCTCTGTTAAGTGGCCAAGACGCGAATTCGAAATTGCAGTTTTCTCGTTAAAGGCGTTTTCAAATCATTGGAGAAAAAAAAAAGAAAAGAAAAGATGCCATTATCGATTTCGATGTCTCACGAAACGGAAGGGAACTCCTCGTCACGCGTTTCCCTATAGGGGAGGGTCTCTCTGGGTGTGTTCTTTCAGGCCAGCGATCCTTAATTAATCTGGAAATCGAATCTGAAAGGGGGAAGAGGAAGAGGCGAGTGAATTCTCGAGCCGATAAGTCGAAATACTGGAGGATGGATTAACCTGGTTGGAGAGGGAGGGGGTGCAGGAAATCCTTTGGCTGGGATTTAGATTTCCCGTTTTCCACTGTTTACCGGCCGCTAAATTGTTCTCCTTTCCTTTCACCGATCCCTAATCGCTTTTATTCCGGCCAACCTGTTATCACAATTCTTCCCCTATCTTCGCGTGAATCACTTTCGACTCGGTGGTAACGGAAATGAGGATGGACGGTGGAGGATGTGGAAGGAAGGAAGGAAGCACGGAATTGAGAATAGGAATTTAGAAGGAATTTAAGGGGTATTTGGAAAGTGGTGGGGAGAAGAAGGTTGCAGGGGTAATATCTTTAACGTGTTTTGAAGGAAAAAAGAAAGAAAGAAAGAAAGAAAGAAAGAAAGAAAGAAAGAAAGAAAGAAAGAAAGAAAGAAAGAAAGAAAGAATGGAGAGAATCGTGGAAGTGGAAATTAATTTTTTAAGGAAATTGATAGGGTAGCTTTTGCTGTGGTTGTGTATTTGAGATCTTGAAAAATAATGGAGAAAGAAATAGGGGGGGGAGAAGAATTTTATTGCTGAAACAGAAGAATAATCCTTTTCAAGGATTCAGACGAGAATTAGTTGATAGAGGAACGAATAAAAGAGAAGTTTTAAGACTAAAAATTATTTAAATATTAATTAAAATATTAAGAGAGTAATAAGAAAAGATTATATAATACTGTTTATTAATTTTAACGAAGCATAAATAGTTATCGTATTCTATTAAGTTAAATATAATTTTAAATATTAACAGCAAAGTCTAGCGTGACTTTATGCTTATGGGAAACGATAAGATTACGAAGCTTGCTAAGAACTCTATTTTATGTTTCCACAATCCGTGGTATAAGATGCAGATAACCATATTCCCCGTGTAAGTGTATTTAAACAGTTAAGTTAAACATTGAATGAATTAATGTTATGTAAAGGGTCCAAAGTCTGTGATGGTTATGATTGGAGGAATAGATAAGGGATTTACAGAAATAGCTGAAGCTGATAACCGATTATTTACACTGTGCATTACACGTTTCTCAATTTCACTTAGCTCAGTTAACAAACATGATAATAATGTAATATAATATGTATACATGTATATCAAATTTTATATTTTCAATTATTCATTAGTTTTGAAAGAAAAAGAAGAAGAAGAAAGTTATCGTTTTAGATATTAAAATCTTACCTGCATCGAGTAAAAAAAAGAGGGATTGTGAGATGAAAAAAGACAGAATCATTATGCCTGACGTTTCTCTTTATTGTTTGAAATGTGTCGTAACGGTCAGATATGGATCATGTAAAATTACAATAAAACGTAAATATGACGAATCATTCGTGTATACATATACGTGTATGTATATATATATATATATTTATATATGTATATATTTATAAATTCTTGTACGCCACCAAAAAAGATCTCGTGAGACCACGAAGGGGAAAAAAAAAAACAAAAAAAAAAACAAAAAAAAAAAAACTTAAATTATCCGAACGAATTCATAAATATGAATCGCTTCCTCGCCCCATCGATTCAAATTTATGCCTTTCGTCTCTTCAAAATTCCAATCAACCTCCCGACCATTCTTTTTTCGTTTTTTAATACACACGTATATTCGAAAAACTATCGAGCCATCGCATAATCATCGTGATTGCGATCTCACCACCAATCCCCAAACAACTTTCCAACAACGAATTTCCTCCCCACCCCCTACTTTCACCGTGTTTATCCCCTACCCACCCCCTTTATTTTAATCTCTCCTCCCTTTAATTACACACCGTAAATCTAAATTCACAATCATACACTATGTACAAGTGTCGCGTCTCGTCTCAACGACTCGCTTTTTTTTTTTTCCTCGATTTTTAAATTATATTGCTATTAGCGTCTCTCTTCTCTTTATCCTCGAGGGACCATCGATACACCTTATAATTTATATTTCATATAAATTACGCACTTTTATTTTTCCGTATATACACACGTCCACGCGTGTATCGTCGGCGTATTCAACGAACGTGTCTTCTTCTGCGTGAGCAACGGAATTTTCACAATGGCAGTGAAGAAAAAAATTTCTTTTTCTTTTCTTTTTTTTTTTTTTTTTTTTGTCGACTGATCACATTGCAGCCAGCATATTCGCAATACTCAGTTTAAAATAGCTACGAAATACGAATTGACGAAAGTTTTCCTCGATGAATATATAAAATGGAATGTTAAAGTAGCAGTAAAGTAGTAAAAATGAAACGCTTCGCAGTTTTTTTTTTTCAGACTGATTATATATAGAAAACGATGCAAATCATGTATGAACTGTTAATACGAGAATATTTGATACGAGCAAAATTTACAGCGGTAGTGGAAAATTAAATGGACAAATTTAATCTGGACTTGAGATTAAATCGAACGATTCGCTGTGATCGAAGGGCTTGGTGGAAATTAGAATATCAATTACATTCGATCGTTTATTATTTAAGAACATGAATATCACATTCTTGCCTCTCCATACTCTCAGAAGAATAATATCGTAACGAATCTTATTTGTTCTCATGCAAAACGAGTACTTCTAGATTTCCAAATTTATATTAATTGTACGCAACCTATATGTACATTCAATTTCATCACTTAAATGGAGAGGCAAGAACCATAAATGTGCAATAAATATCACAAATATCATTCTTCAAATAATTAATACAATTCATACACGAAAAAAATTCATCCTTATCCCTTTCCACCAAGTCCCCTCTTCATCGTTCGACCAAGCAACGATACGGCGAAATGATCCCAACGCGAGCGAGCCTCGTCTGCGATTCTCGACGATTCTCCTGACCGGTTAAACGTGCAAAAGTGGCAAGATACCGTGATTGAACGATGATAAGATCGCTAAGCAGATCGAGATCGAGACGACGGGTTGGGGATCGATCGTGGAACCGGATCTGGGCGGTTCCTGGGCCAATCGTTGATTGCTCGCGGCCAACGTCGCGGTTTCCACCCTCTCGAGCGGCCTGTCGCCCCTGATCCTCGGCAAGGTGGACTGACAGGCGAGAGTTAAAGTCCCTCCGGGGAAATGGTGTCGTTCCAATCGAAGAGTAAGGCCGAGACGCGTCGAGGACACGAGGCTGTCCTCCGTCGGGCTCGTGCTTGCCAATTCTCTGATCAACCCTTTGTTCACCTGTTGACGATAGAGAAGGCGAGAGTTAGCCGATCCCCCGAATTTCACGAGTGAAATTTCATGCTGGATTAGGGGGATGAATTGGGGGATCGAGATCGTGGATAATGGTTCTATAGTGTTTCGAGTGTTGGCGATAATGTCTTGGGTGAATGAAGGAATAATTGGGGGATGGATTCGTTTTGGATATCGTTTTGGAAAGTGATGAAAGTGTTCTCGACGATCGACTTCTTTCTTGGAGAGAAAGATATTTTTCGATATAGATAGATAGTTGTATTGTGGTTAATTGTATTTCATCAAATTATATGGATCTCGTGAATAAGGATTGTTCGAAATAGAAGAATGAAGTGAATTTTAGGTATTAATGGGATTAAATTTAAACGTGAAGCGATGAACGTGCGATTAAGTAAGGAGTGTTCTATCTTTTCCTTTCATTACTCTTATTTATTATAAAGAAACATCGATGAGACAACAATATCTTATTTATCTATAATTTCTACGAATTTTTATCTTTATCTTTCCCGAACAAGAATTCAAAAAATTCATTCCAATTGTAACTCAAACTCAATCTTTCTATTTATGATTTAACAAAAAAAAAAAAACGTATGAAAACGAAAAATCGTTTCATAGTTACTCCAAGTAATGTTACTGCACCGAAGAGAAGAGAAAAAAGTTATTATACTGCTTGAAACGCCATCAAGATACCCAAGATCCTATCCAAGCATCTAAAATAACTTTCTCGGCTCGAGTGGTTGAGGTGAATTTAATAGGGTGGCATATTCGTCTGTTATTTTTAGGACGAAAACAGGAGCTGAGTGCACAGTAAGCAACTTTGAAAAAGTATTTTCGAGTATAAACTGACGGTTTTAATTTCTCCTACCTTTCACCACCTACCTATGAATAAGTTCTTCTGAAGAGTCTGAATAAAGCGAGCGAGTAGTGGCGAGAACACTAAACGAGCACCTTTTAAACGATTCCTATAATTTTATATCTTTAGCCGGCGTTGAATTTGCAATTCAAAATCTCTCGTCATTTTCCAAGAACTTCCACTTTCCGATTCTCTTTCCAAACTTTCGTTGTTTCGATTCGCCTCCGCTCGGCCAATTTTCAAAATCATGAAACGATGAAATTTTCAAGAGTCTTGATTGAAATTTAAATTTTTTTCTTTTTTTTTTTTCAAGATTTCGATCAAGTTTCTTTATAATTTGATATATATCTATCGTCGAATTGGATACGTTTTAAAGAAAATGTATTCTTCCAATTATCTTCTCAAGAATTGAAGATTATTTTTCTATTATTTTTGCAAAATAATTTAATAATAATAAAACTGTAAGATAATATTTAAAGCAATCCAATATTCGATTATTTTCCCACGAAAAACAATTTCAGAAGAACGAATAACTTTTCATCTTCATGAAAAAAAAATTAATGTATTATTTTTTGTCGAAACAAGGCAACATTCAATTCAGAAATAACATACACACACACACATTCTCCATTGTTTTTCACTCGATACAATTTAATATTCATTATCGTTTTCGATTTAAAATAATTCCATCTGAATAAACACCGTTTTCATTACAACGATAAAAATTCTACAATTTCATGAAACAATAAATCTTTAATCCAAATATATAGAAGACTTAACACATATATTATGGAAATTATCTTCGGACAAAAAAATAATATTTTAATGAAAAGAGAAGATAGAAAATAATGGAATAAATTTAATCATTCCATTTTTTCATTTTTAAACGAATTCACGCAATAAAAAGACGTATGAGCAAAACAAAAATTCATACTACATCACAAGAAATAAATAAACTATCTTCAATTGGTTTTTCAAAGAGTATGAGGAACGATTTAAATAATTTTATTACAATTATCATCGTTAAAAAATATTCAATCCCTAACTTATGACTCGATTCGACTTCGATTTACAATGAAAACACATACGAGATAACAATTCACATCACAAATCACTAGATTCATAACTTGGAAATTACGTTTAAACGCGACAACAAACTGACTTTTCGAAAAGATCCACTAGCTTTCTCGAGACATTGGATCCAAACGGCGGATGGATGAAAAGGCACGCGAGGGAACGGGTATCACGAGACTCTAAAAAAAAAGAAAAAAACCAAGTCTCGCCCTGAGCATGGGTCGCGTTTTTTGCGACGGCAGCTACAATCAGGAATTCTAAAGTTGGCGAAATGTCTCTCCAGGCTCTAATAGCCGTACGCCCTCTCTCATAAAACTGTTTCATTCCTCCCTCACCTCTTTCCCGTTGAGGATGAAGACGAGCCGGGCTGGAGGGTAGCTGGCCGCCGAGCTGCATTCCACTTCGAGCGTCTCGCCCGCCTCGTAAGAGGGTCGAAGGCCACGGAGGGTGGGTCGCTCCTTGGGGGGGATGGCCACGCTCATGTTCGCCTCGCCGAAGATCGTGAGGAAATTCGGCCCCTCCGAGGACACCTCGCACCCGTACAACCCCACAAGGTTCACCTTCACTGTCGCGTGGAAATTGTTTCGAATTATTTTTCCAAGAAATCGATCCGCTTCGATTTTTATTTTATTTTATTTTTTCGATTTAATCCTTGGATCCAGTAATTATAAATACTTTTCTATGAGAAATAGTAATATTATTATAGGTTGTGGATTAGTGAATTGGATAGTAATGAATTCGAATAATTGTATATTTAGGTATTCTTTGTTTTAATTTAAATTAATGTATTCATAGGCACAGTTGTTATTAGATATATTTAAAGAAACAAAGAAAAGAATAGAATATAACGTGTACAGTATGACGACATGGTTTATTATTTAATAAGTAGAAGAAGAATTGAAATAAATTTTTATCAAGTCGACTTGATTAACGTGTACGTTTAATGAAACGTTTAAATTGGAAAAAGAATATATTCCCATTTTTTTTTATCCCTGTTAATAAGATCTTAATCCACTGAATAATAGTTGGAGAAGGTATTTAAATAAGTAAATTGAATGAAATTTACTGTTATTACATCCGGTTATATAATAATAACTTCGTTATCATCAAAATTAAATTCTTTCTCGATGTTATAATATTTCCAGTTTAAATTTTTATTATACCTTTAAGTATAATATTTCCTTTAGAATTTCTACTAAAACTTAATAACTCATTAAGCAATTATGATTATAAATTAATTTCAATCTATTTCAACCCCCTTTAGAACTTATTCCAAAACACTTTCGATATTTTATAATAACACTTTAAAAATATTTTTTTAATACCTTGAAAAAAGAATCGTGCAATAATATTGATCCTTTAAAAAATTAACGCATTTCACTCTTCATATTTTCTCTTTTACACCCTCTTCCAATTTTTCCCCGTTCGAACAAAAATTTACTCGCTCTTACCAATCCTCAAATTCGCACACACAATATCTGGGCGAAATGAATCGCTCTTCAACCATTCTTCATTCAGCATGAATCTCCAAAAAAAACCTTCTATTCAAATAAAGTTGCCGCAAGACAAAGTCTGCTCTTTCACCAATATACTCTAATTCCTTCTGAAAAAAATTTTCAGAATCGTCGCAACGGTTCTAACGAAGAGTTTAAACACGAATTCGCGATTCTTCTCGCGAGATTTCGATTTAAAAAGCGTATAAATGGTTTCTCGATCTCTAGATTTAGCAAAAGAGGTGAAAAAAATTAATTATTTCTAATTACTATTATTAATTTAATGATTCTTGATAAATGAAAAAAATATCATTCGAAATAATTTATTACTTAAAAATTGAAGTTCTATATATTAAGCACGTATTTATTCTAATTACGTTATCTGCAGTTATTGTGATTCTCAACTATCTTTCTTTTAAATTCTTAGAATAAATTGATTTTCGAGAAATGAATATTCACCAACAATGCAATCATCTCACGATACAATAATCCTTAAAACGTTATAATTAATTAAAAATCCTTTTCTTTTAACCAAACAAAAAAACTTTCATTTATAGAAACTTCTTCGATTCAAAATTGCCCCTCAAAAAATTGATTAAATGCCATTCCTACATTATATAAAGAATCACAATCGAATTGAAATGAAAACGATAGAGACTTATTCTCTCCTTTGAAATCTTATTTCAAAGATAATCGTTAATGAATTAACGAAGTCAGATCGGTTATTTTTAGAAGCCTCGAAGATTAGAAACTTTACGAAAGATGTGAAAGAGGAAAATAACCCTGGATCCCTGTGGAACAATGAAAAATGGGTGAGAATAGAAATTTAATAGGGGCCCCGTTCACAAGAAGGAAAGTTCGTTGGTTATTTAAACGAAATTTCTGCCAGCCCGTTAACTTTCATCGTTCTCTCGGTTCAAGTTGGGAAAATCTCGCGGAGTTGCTGTTTTGATTTTAATTTGAAATTGGGAAAAAATCTGTAAGGAATTCTCTCTTCTTTTTGTTTTTTTTTTTTTTTACAAATTCTTTATATTTTTTATCTTTGTTGCGGTATTCTTCTTGGGAGAAAGTTGAAATTAGATAGATTAAGGTGAAGAAAGAACGAAGAAGATAAAATTCAATCATTGTCAAACGCGTAGAATTTAAGTTAATAAATTTATTATATAATTAATGCATAAATTTATGTAGTGTAGTTGGATGCAGAGACTTCTTTAGAAACCGTGATATTTAAGGAAATGGCATTTTGAAAGAAAAGATGTATCATGAGGGTATTACTAAAGAAATATAATTCTGAAACTTCAAAAACCTGTCAATAATGAAAAAATAATTACAAAATCCTGCATATGTTACTTCAGAACTAATATTAAACACATCTCAAAAAACACACAGTCTCCAGACACCTGATCCCCTTAATTCTCATTAATAATTTATCAAGCATATTGAACCGCAAATTGCACACCTCTCACTTTTCTCGCAGCATTTGAAAATAAAATTCTCCCTCTCTATGGACAGTTTGCTATCGTTCTCAACGTGATGTCCATTTGCAAAGAAAAAAGGAAAGAAACAAACTCGTGAAAGCTTCACTCTGAGAAAGCACGATCCACACGATTTACGATTCGATCCTCGCGCACGATTCACCTTCCCCCGATCTCGAAGCGGCGCGAAACCTTCTCCAAGACGTCGCGATATCGCAGGCAAAACACCATCCACGTCGTGCACGCACGACCAGCTATCGCTTAAATTGTGTAAAGAGAGGGAATCGAGGATCTGTACAAACCTCTCCGATTGTTCGCCTGTCCCAACAGCGTCACTTGTTTGCTATCGCTCCTGTTCACGTCCACGTACACCCCTTCCAGCTGGAAATCACGACCGGGCGGCCTCGAGCCGGGCATAAACCTGAAGAACTCCGCGCCATCCTTGTACCACTTCACCGAGTACAATTCCTCCCCGTCCAGATCGTACTCGCATCTGAGCGCCACCTTTTCCCATCTCGGGTCAGCTATACTCGGCACGTCTATCCTCACCAGATGGATGGACGAGCCTGGAAAAGAAGATTTGTACAGTTTTTTTGGAATTGGAAAGTAGAGGCGAAATTTTTTAAATTGGGAAAATTTGTTGTACAGAGCCAGTATTTTTTTTGGAATCAGAAGAATTAGAGAAGTAGAGAGAGAGAGAGAGAGAGAGAGAGAGAGAGAGATTTGGAAATAAGAGTAAATTTAGATTTAGAAGTAAAAGGGGAGATATTAGTGATGGAAGATAAATCTTAGAATCCAGAATTTTATGACTCCAGTCTCATTTCATTTTTTTTTTTTTTTTTTTGTTACACCGATGTCAGGAATATTATTCGAACAAAAATTTAGTCCACGCAAAGTTACGACAAGTTTAAATCACGCTTTTAAACCTGACATCAATTTTCTCAAAACTTATTATTACTGATGCACTCAATTAACCCTTTGTTTAAATCACGTTCTTCCTCCACACTTCAAACGATTCAAAATTCCTCCAATTCATGAATTTCTGCAAAAACGTTACCTTGAATACACACTGTTTCCAGATATATATACAAAAAGAAGAAGAAGGAAAAAAAAAAAAGATCATCGCACGACAAAGAATATTCAAAACAAGCGAAAAGTCTTCTCGTTCGTTTAACGAACGACAGCGTGAAAAATACGACAGAATTTGTCCAGTTGGCCTGTCGCGTAAACAAGCGTCGAAAAAATTTACAGAGAAAACTAGTCGAACTCCATTTGCCGGTCGACTGGATGTGGGAAAAAAAAAAAATGCAATTATTGGTGTAATGGGTAGGTGTTGAAAAAAAAGAGAGAGAGAGAGAGAGAGAGAAACCTCGAATCCCTACAAGGGAGTAATTTCCTCTCCCTCCCACCCCTTTTCACTCTCTCACTGCCAAACGAGTGTTTTTTAACACAGTCGCATTAATTTGTTTATCGCCGCTTCGCCGAGCAAGCGTGGCAAATAGCCGGGCTAATTAAAAATATCCGATCCGGCCGGGTATAATTATCGTCCTCGAAAATGCGATCGAACATTTTTCGAGTGGTTGTACGCCGTAAAACGGCAATATTTTCGCATGGAATCGATTGTGAAATTTGTATTCCTTTGTCGCGCCGTTTGATAAGTTTTCGCCGTATTCGAGAGAATATTTGATTGCTTAATTAGAGGGCGTTGATTTTGCGTTAATTTTTCAAGTACCGTTGAAAAATTGCCGAAATTGGGGTGAGGTTCTAATTATTATTACCGTATTCGATTTTTACAGAGATTGCAGAAAAGGAAACGTTAATTTGCTGAAAAATGTTTCTTATCGTTTCCTCCACCTAGAAAATTCAATTTCTTCTTTTTCTTTTCAATTTTAAAAATTAATTGGATTAATTTATAACGATCCTGATTGAATTCAATCTCTCTTTTCGTTCCATTCGTTCCTTTAAAAACATACCCGTCGTGTGCATAAATTCTTGATTTCGAAACAAACGAAATAACCATCTTGTTGAAAGATACCAATTTAATAAAAAGAAAAAAAATGGGCAATTAAAGGCTAAAATTCCAAGCTAACCGAATAGCCCTCATCAATCTCAACTCGGATCGTTCCCATCATCGTCGAAGAAGAAAGAATTCAGTGGCCAAAAAGCGATATTCCTCGAGATCGTAATACTCGTTCCACGTCAAATCGCGAGCCAACTACGTGCCACTTAAAACAATAACCAGATACGTCGTTCGCGTCGACACAATCGAAACGAGAAAGAGAGAGAGAGAGAGAGAGAGAGAGAGAGAGAGAGAGAGAGAGAGAGAGGNGNG